ACTCTATAGGCTATTCAGGTTGACTCAGTTGTAGAAAGACGAGTTCCCTGGGTGCTGCATCTGCATTCGTTGCTGCTGCAGTTGCTGCTGCTGCTGCAGCTGCTGCTGCTGCAGCAGCTGCTGTTGCTGCTGTGGATTCAGCATAGGAAGCTGCTGCTGCGGCTGCAGCTGCTGCTGGATAAGAGATTCGTGGCTGCCGCCAGGGATGATTTGGGGTTGCTGCTGCTGCTGCTGCTGCTGCTGCTGCAGTTGATGTAGCTGCTGCTGCTGCAGCTGCTGCTGCTGCAGGTGCTGCTGCTGCAGCTGGTGCTGCTGCAACTGCTGATGCTGGAGCTGCTGCTGCTGCAGCTGCTGTTGCTGCAGCTGCTGTTGCTGCTGGGGGAAGGCCATTGTCTCTCCAAGGGGGCCGCGCATGAACGGCTGCTGCTGCAGCTGCTGCTGCTGCAGTTGCTGCTGCTGTAGCCGTTGCTGTTGTAGCTGCTGCTGCTGCAGCTGTTGCTGCTGTAGCTGCTGATGCTGTAGCTGTTGCTGCTGCAGCTGCTGCTGCTGAAGCTGCTGCTGCTGCAGCGGTAGTTGCTGGCTAGGAGATAAACCCAACATTTGCTGCTGCGCAAAATGCTGCTGCTGCTGCTGCTGCTGCTGCTGCAGAGTGCCCATGCGGGCGTGAGGAGGTGTTGCTGCAGTCTGACAAAGCAGCCGCTGCTGTTGCTGCTGCTGCTGCTGCTGCTGCTGAAGTTGCTGCTGCTGCTGAAGCTGCTGCTGCATAAGATCCCGATGATGGGGTTGCTGGAGCTGCTGCAACTGCTGCTGCTGAAGCTGCTGCTGCAGCTGCTGCTGCTGCAGCTGCTGCTGCTGCAGCTGCTGCTGCTGCAGCTGCTGCTGTTGGAATGCCGTTTGCTGCTGCTGCTGCCAGCTGGGGGGCCCCTGCAAGAGAAGCTGCTGCTGCTGCTGCTGTGCAGCAGCCTGCCGATACGCCTGCTGCTGCTGCTGCTGCTGCTGCTGCTGCTGCAGGGTCAGCTGCGGCATTTGCTGCTGCAGCGGCTGAGCTGGTGCTGCGTACCCGAGCTGACTCCTGAGCTGCTGCTGCTGTAGCTGCTGCTGCTGTAGCTGCTGCTGCTGCAGTTGGTGTTGCTGCAGATGTTGCTGCTGCAGCTGTTGTTGATGTAGCTGCTGTTGGTGCATCTGCTGCTGCTGCAGCAGCGGCTGCTGGAGCTGTTGCTGCTGCAGCTGCTGCAGCACTTGCTGCTGTTGCGGCTGCTGCTGCTGCTGTACGAAGCCAGCAGAGAAGGAGCGGGACGGGGGACCGTGCAGCTGCTGCTGCTGCAGNAGACTGCAGTTGCTGCTGCTGCTGCTGCTGCTGCTGCTGTTGGGCTGCCTGCTGCTGCCTTGCTATGAAGGCTTGCTGCGAGAGCAGCTGCTGCTGCTGCTGCTGCTGGTGAGGCATCTGCTGCGCTACATACCGAGGATCTGCAGCAGCAAACTGCTGCTGCTGCTGCTGCTGCTGCTGCAGCGTCATCTGCTGCTGCTGCTGCTTTGGTGTGCATTCAGCACGGCTGTGGAGGCCGTACCCTAGCGGTTGCTGCTGCAGCTGCAGCTGCTGCTGCAGCTGCTGCTGCTGCCCCTCTGCGCCCGCTCTCTGTCGCTGCAGCCATTGCTGCTGCTGCTGCTGCAAGTGGTGCTGCTGCAACTGCTGCTGCTGAAGCTGCTGCTGATGCTGCTGCTGCAGCTGCTGCTGCTGCTGCGGCCCCATCTGCAGCTGCATGCGCGCACCGCCGTGCTGTGCTGCTGTTTGCTGCTGCAGTGAAAATGTTTGCTGCGCCCTTTGAAAATACTGCTGCTGCTGCAGCTGCTGCTGCTGCTGCTGCAGCTGCTGCTGCTGTAGCTGCTGCTGGAAGTAAAGCTGCTGCTGATGAGCACCGACTACGCCTTGCTGCTGCTGCTGCTGCCGCTGTTGCGGCAGCAGCTGCTGTTGCTGCTGCTGAGCTGCTCCTGCAGCGGGCCTGCAAACAAGTACACAGCAAGCAGCAGCAGCAGCAGCAGCAGCAGCAGCAGCATTACAAACAGCAGCTGCAGCACTGCTGCTACAAGCAGCAGCAACAGCAGCAGCAAGCACGACAGAAGCAGCAGCAACACAACAACCGCAGAAGCAGAACCAAAGGCAGCCGCAGACACCACAGGAGAAGCAACAACAGCAGCAACAGCAACAGCAGCAGCAACAGCAGCAGCAGCAGCAGCAGCAGCAGCAGCAGCA